GCGCATCTAAAGTAGGCTGGACTACGTCTGCTAATTTCGACCATTCCTTTTTCATGTGCTGTCAGCACGCAAATACAGGCATTACATTAAATCCAAATAAGGCAGAATGTCATTACTTTTCCAAGCGAAATCACAGTCACTTTACCAGTTTTGTGTTCATGCATAAATGTACGGATTAAAATACCTACCTTAAACAACTTATAAGCAAAATTATTCCAAACCTCAAATTGCGGCGCTTTTAATTTGCAACTAATTCAAAGTCCGTGCGTTGATGCTCCAAAATAAAAATGTCACACTGGGCCAGTGGCGTTAGTTCCTCGCAATTCTGCTGAAAATTACTACTTTAAAGCATGTTCGCCTTTGAGTGCAGAAAATGCGTTGTCGATGTAAAAACGAATCTGCCATGCCCGCACAACTCAATGGGTCGATTAATCGCTTCCGTGTTTATATATTCTAGCTTTTGCCCAACTTCTGGACATTTATTACTAGTGAGTTAAAAGCCGACCATCTGCTTAAGTCGATTCGTCGAGGCATTATTGTGGAGCACTGTGGTGCAGAAATTGTGGCGGTTTGTTACGCCTCGCAAAACGGACAAGCCCAAAACACAGCCACTGGGCTTAAATGCCGTTCCTCGATGTCAGGGCCTCAAGATGTATGAACAGCACAAAACTTGGTAGAGTGAGCGAGGCAAACACTCAATAGGCACTTGAATGCCCACTACGAGTTCCTACCATTTATTGCCTAATGAGTGGGACAAATGCGCTTTTGCTACACCTACGCAATCACAATTAACCACAGTTTCTGTCGTTTTACAGACTCAGGGGAATAACTGGCACCGTCATATAAGCACGAGAGAATTTGCTCGTAAACATCCCTGAGCAAGATGGAATTCGCCACCAATAATTGCGAAGACAACACTAAATGATTGTGGCAAATTTATTATTTGTGGTATTTACAATGTTAACACTAAGAAATAAAATCTTGTTCACGTTCATTGCGATCTCTAGGAAGTGAATCGTAAGTTGATCCGAACGAGGTAGGGCTGTTTGATTTGACCTATGCCGCGCGCCTAGTACGCATTGTACAGAAGGTCACTGCCTATCGCCGCAGAGGCCATTGGCTGGCCAACGGAGTGGGTATCACTGGTCCCTGGCTCCTTGTAGTTTGACGCCTCGTCAGAAGAAGCTGCGCCCACACCTTCGAAAGCAAAGTGTGCCAACAAAGTCACCAGCACCAATTTTCTACAGCCACGATATCACGACAATTCTTTAGCCGCTGGCAGAGGTTGACATGGTAAGAAGTGGCAGTACCTACAAAATACATTTAGCGTGCGACTAATTTCACAGGAAAGCAGTTTCTCCTGTTTGAGAAATTTCACAAAAACTTCCTTGAAAAAATTCTACGTATTAATTTAGATTAAGCGGGTACAGGACAAATGATATGACTTACAAACAAATCCAGGCAAAGCTTTTGGTGTCTAAATCTACTTATCTGCAAAAAATGACTTTCTGTCGACAAGGTTTATGATAAATTTATGAAATGCATGACAACTAAATACACCATGAATTTAAAACTGAATGCCTTAACAGGTAATGTCTCTTAGCAAATCATAGCAATAATAGATTATGTTACCAAATGCTTGCAGACAAATTTGAAAAAAATAATACAAAGGCTGGAAAATGCCGCATATGATACTTAGGAATGCGCACTCGCAAAGGAGGATTTACAAACCTCTAAAAAATAGCAGCAGCAGCACGAAGAGGGAACAGAGTTACCTTTGCGGCTGCCTTGGCAGCTAAACAGTCGTACAGTTCAACGAGAGCAACTTGACACAGTCAAAGGCAGCTTCAAGAGGAATTGACGAAGTCAAGCACCAATTTTTCAGCGGATTTGCTCGTAGTGAGAGAGAAGGTATGAAGGGGGCGTAATTCATGAGCCTTGCGCTCTACCAAGCAAAAAAGGCGAAGGGGTGCACACGCAAGAAAAAGTAGATATATGAGGAGGAGAAGTAGGAAAGAATCCACAGAAAGCCTGCAAAATTTGTACAACATGAAACATGCCAGAGTATCACAAGAGCTGGAGTAAACGAGCAAAAGCTCCAATGCCCACCGGTTCCGCCACTTAACAAATAAAAAAGGGAATGAAGCAATTCTCTTGTTCCAAATCCAGTTCACCATTTGTCATCAAGGCTCTACTCTATACGACCTGCTCCTTACTAATGCAGCACTGCCAGTAGGAGAAACTGCTCTGCAAAAGCAACGCAGAACACTGCCAAAGAGGACGCAATGGCAGGTCATGAAGCACTAGTGAAGTGAAAAACCAGGCTCTGCACATTCCCCTTTCTCTCCTTTCAAGCTATTGTCGCTATGCTGCACAAGAGAAATGGAGTGCACAAACACCAAAGGAAAGTAGCAGAGATTCCACAGCCTATTATTTTGCCAATGAAGAAAAGAAAGAGACGAAACCGTACTTAGTTTCTTCTACCTCCCACAGAGCACTTGTTGACAAGGATTTACCCTACGCCAACTTATCCAAAAATAGAAAGCAGTGCGGTAAGGAAGGATTGCAGAAAGAAGCGACAAAGCTTAAAGAGCATTAATGCGTTGGAATAATAAGAAAAGTAAAAAAAATAATAACTGGATAATTATAGTGACCGTTTTTCAGCTCTTGTTTTTACTTAAACTGGAGAGTACCCCTATATTCAAAGGGATTCATAACCAAATATTCCACTCACTGATACCAGAGATGATAATACCTTATCCAAATAGTTCCACCTTGGCTCACACACTTCGTTCACTTTGATCAACAAGGAAATGAATGTTTCTCTCCATGAATCAGGTTCACCTTACATACTTTGCCTTTCGAATAGAAGCAAATAAATGTGTACAGAATTATTATGTACCAACTGAAAAACTAAAGAGCGACACAACTTCCGAGACATAATCATAGCTTGGATAAGGAGAGTTAGTGAGCAGGAATGGGGAGAGTGAGGGGTCTAGGCAAGCTTTCACTATTCCTCTTGGGATCGCTGCCAGAAGAAAAAGAATGATCATTCCAGTGCTTCATGCTCTAAGTTTACAGAATGTACCATAACATCCAGGAAGTGTTCAAAGGCGCGACTTTACCACATCATCAAATTTGGCTTGGGAATTGTTGTTGAAAAATTAAAATCGACTACATTGAACGCTGGAGATGACACTCAGGGCTTTCATACGGTCACGTAGACCTCTACGGTAACTTAATTAGTGGTAGTGACGGCGGTGGCAACAGAACGCAGTGTACCTCCGCTACTGCCGATGATAATTACTAGCGACGACATGGGAGACAACAGAATTAGGCCAATAATCCAACGCCCAATATTACTAAAAAGGTGCCAAAGAGAAATCCAATTATCCTACCCCGTAAGTAAGAGTCGCTACAACTGCATACAAAGCGTCGAGCTAATGCTTTCATCCTCGTGGCCGCCTCAAGCATCAAATGAACGTAATAACAGAAAAAATAAGTCGTCAACCACTACGTTTTACTGTTACGATATGTATAACCATTGGCGCAATTCCTCTCATTTGATCCACTTCAAAGGCATCATGTGTGTGTGACGCACGAGCTCAGGTAATAAGATCGTGTCAAGGGAACGATGTTGGAAGTGAAAAATCAAGTGTAAAAAGATGTGAAAAATAAAATTTTTCCCCTTTCTACGCCTAGCTATGTATTCTTCGATCTAGAAGCCTGAAACACGAAGAAGCCTGTCAGTGCGGCTGCGTCTTTTAAATGCAGCATTTGCAGTAGCTTTTCAAAAATCAAGAATTTTCGCATTCACAAGCGAATGGGCAGTGATCAAATTCGGCGGATGTGAGGATGTAGCTGGCTATTTGTGAGCGTTGTTTTGTTTCACTGGAGCCGGTTTGCCCCACTAATCGCTTAGAGCCAGCGATGGATTTGTACCGTAGACATATTGAGCTGGCGAGGAAGTATGTCAGACTTAGCGAGGAGATAAAACGCTTAAATAAGCTGTGGGACGATAGGGTGACACAAATCGCCTCGGAGAAGGGCATTCGCCCCTGGCAGGTTGACAGCTGCAAGGAAGGCATCAGGGAGTACTGCGACTCCTACGTCATTGTGGTACGGCTTCCTTCTCAAATGACGTTTCAATTCACTTTACCTGTTGTCAACAGTCA